GACCAACGTGAACATCGAGAGAAGAGAATGTAGTTTGAAGAGTGTGAGTGCCTTCGACTTCGACTACTTTCATTTTGTGGTTTTGAATGCGGAAGTTGAGGGAGTGTTGTAACCCTACGTTGGATATTCTCAGCCTATATGTCTTACCTGAAGAGCTCAAACCATAAGATGATCAGTAAACTGGACATATTCACAGTTATCAGAAAGTATGTAGCCACAATATGACTGTAAATATCTAATATTTACCCAATGAGCTTAGATATCTAAAATTATCTAAATTATTTAATATTTTAAAATAAACAAATCGAATTATCTAATATTTTATCCAAAAAAATTGAATTAGACCCAAATTTTCTAGGACATTATTCAAAACCGAAAAAATCAAACCAAATTTCATAAATACACAAACCTTGTTCAACATTGAGAGTGGCACCAGTTCCACGGCCATTGATGAGGATACCATCTGGTAAAGGAAGCTTCCTACCACTATCAAGCTTTGCCTTCAAATTCTACAGAAACAATAAACCACACAACATTAATATGTATCCGGTTTAAAAGTTGCCTTGGTTAATTATCTTTTATTCTAAACCAACTCCAATTCCCGGTTTGGTATTAAATGAACATTTACCGTGTGATTGGACTTGTACCAGTCTCCAATGAGAACAGTGTAATCACCGGCGGGATCAGGGAAAGGGACAGGGATCCTTGGACGGCTGAGGATACGAATGCCACCAAAACCACCAGCGGCTTTGTGGAATGCGAGAGAAGGAAAGTAGTAGAAACTTCCGATCTGATCCTTCACCTGAAGCATGTAAGTGTAGTTCTTCCCAGGAGGTATTGGGCATGTTGTTCCGTACACTCCGTCCACGTACGAGTTCCTCCTCTGCTGGACCCCATTCCTTCAAATTATTATTTTCAATATATTAGATTTTACCTCCTATATAACTGTTATAAATTGCTAATCTAGCACCCTACTGAAAAGTGTGCATAAAATTGAATACAGCTAATATAGTTTGGTAAGGTGGTGGACCATTTCCCCATGTGTAAAAATTTAGTGCAATGGTCACTGTATCACTATCATCCCTTGCATAAAAGCATTGTTATTAATTAAATTATTCGTTTTAACCTCAACAGTAGTCTGAATTGCTGATCTTACCCCCACTTTCGATAAAGTTTGCATAAAATCGAATACAACTAAATAGTTTGGTAAGGTGGTGGACCATCTCCCCCACATGTAAATGTTTTGAAAATATAGTGGAGTAGTCACTGTACCACATCCACTATCACTCCATGCATGATAAAAGCATAAATCATAAAATTATTTAATAATATGTGTTAGTTAAATTTAACCCCAATCACCGCAACTAATCATGTCGTATGTGGATAAATAATCATTTCGTGGACCAAGTCCGACATAACTGATTGTTTTTTACGCACGTTTTATTTTTTACGTCACTAATAAAAAGGTAAAAAAAGAAAAGAAAGTGAAATACTATTTACAAATCACAAGCAACGTAAAACTACTAGCCGACTAGGTCTAGAACCTATTAACAATCGACAGAGACATACTTCAATGTTAAAGGTACCTAACTTTTGAGTTAAACTAAAACTGTATTGTAATTACATATTTGTAAAAAAGACTTACCATGAAAGAAGGAAAGGTTCGTCGAGGTTATTGAAGACATTGATGACGAGATTGTCATTAGTAACCGAGTGAATGTCCGGTCCGGGAAACTTTCCATCGATCAGAATACCCTGAACCAGAAAAACAAACCAAATCTTGTAAAAAAATAAACCGGAAATGTATCTGCTAGGAGATCAATCTTGGTTTAGTTTTTTATTACCTGTTGGCGAACGCCGAGTGGGTAGATGTCACCGTATGTGACGTTCCAGCTAAAGAATCTGTATGGATCTTCCGCCGTGACCGCAAAGAGAAGCGAAAACACAATGGTTAATGCGGTTGCGAATGAGGCAATGGCCGCCATTTTTTGGTGGAAGCGGATGAAGGAAGAAAGGTATTGTTGGCGTGGTCTCTTTTCTCTATGACTCTCACACTAGAGTAATGGAGACGGCACGTATTAAAAAGAGTTGACAGTAAAGAGCTAGCTGTGGAGAGAGAATGATATAGAGGGAATGAATACAAGAGGAGAAAACAAAGGTCAGTGTCGGTGGCTGGACCCACGAGCTACTCGGTGTTGCTTTGAAATATGTATTTGTCACCAACAATCCACATGGGGCATGGCTAAGCAAATTGGCCATTTTTATATGGTTTTTGCCCTAAAAACATTAATATTAAAAACAAAAAGAGTAATGATCATTTAAGAAAAATGATTATTTGTGGTAATCTTTTGGTGATGGATTAACAATTGGATTGTTTTTGGGAAAACATTGGGTGGCTAATTAACAGTATTGGATTTTTCTTCTTTTCAATTGTCAGTATAATTGAACTATTCTCTGCTTTTGGAGGGGGATCTGTGGTAATTTATTTGGAGACACAACATGTGATTGTTTATTTTTGTCTTATAAGATTTATTTACTCTAAAACCCTCACAAGACAAAATGCTAATCATTTTAATCAGAAAAGTGCTTTTGCTAAATTAATTGGGTGAACATTTTTAATAAATATATGGCAACATAAACCATATTGAAAGACTCCACAAAAATATATCGTTTCAGAGTTCAAAAATGAATCATTTATTAAGAAAAATATTAAAAGAGCAAAATCCAATGTTTTAATGATCTAAATTTATAAATAACTTTTCAAAAAGCTTATTATTATCTTCAAATATACTAAATGAATATTAATTTTAATTTATAAATTTGTAGATAAATAAAATTTAATTAGTGTTTACAAATACTAGGCTTCAATTTTTATATGAATATGGTATACCATCGTTTTTTCTTCTCTTTTTTTTTTGTTCTTGTTTACTCTTTAAAGCTGTTGTAAAATGAAAAATGGGCCCATTAATTCCTGGTTGCAGAATCAAATTTGTTTTTGGAAACTCATGACATTTGGTAAGTTTTCTTCACTTGTTATTCACAATTTTTGGCTTTGAGTGAATATAAGTTCAGATGGTGAAAACAAATATTGAACTAGGGTCCAAAAGTGATCGGAGGGAAAACCTTACGTGCACTTATCAAAAGTAGAACGTTAACCTGACATGCGTTTACATTTCCTGATATCTCGCCAATAACTCATACTTTTCTTTCTTGTGAGAGTCATTAGCACTTTTGTCAAATTAGCTCTCCAAAAATTAAGGTAAAGTAAGCAAAAACAAAGAACATGTTTCTTGCTAAATAGAGATTTACTACAAGAAAACTATCATTGGGTGAACAAGCGACGCGTTACCGCAATTTGAAATAGCCGTGACTCTCCATATCATGGAAATAAATAGCTGTGGAATATAGTTGATCTTGATAGGCCTGTATAAATGACAACAATTCAATTAGTCAACCAGAAAACTGAGAACACTTTTAAAATATCACAATATTAAGAGGGGAAAGTGGATTAGGTGTTCCATGTCATGTCCGGACATCATTCGACTCCATAGTAGTACAATTCAAGTCGACCAGAAAACCGTGAACACTTTAAAAATAGCACAATATTAAAGAAGAAAACGGATTAGGTGTTTCATGTTATGTCTGGACAACATTCGACGCCATAGTAGTACAGTGGTTGGAACAAGAAAGGGAATCGTACAATGAGTTTCATAGTTCCTACTTCCTAGAACATTGTTTGGATTCTTGTCTCAGTGAATATATAGAAGAATTAAATTGATGAGTAAAAATGTTTAAGATTTGAATTAATATTTTTTTTGAAAATGATTCTTGTATTATTAGTATAGATAATGTTTATCTATAAGATATATTAACAATAGATAATGCTTACACATATGTAGTCATTATCTTGTATAGATTTGGTCTTATCTCTAGACTTAGATGTTGTATATATACACAACATATGATATCAATGAAAGCATCTTTTGCAATACTTCTATATGTATCACTAATACATTCAACTTTAAAAAAAAGAAAATGGCATGCTTATAAGAAATTATATCATAGCTTTTAAACAAAATATGACATGTGCAATTTTATATATAAAAATGTTATTGTTGGCTTGAAAATAGAGTAACTATCTACTTGGATTCATACCACTGTTATTAAACTTTGAAAATATTGTAAAAGTTTCCTTGTTAATCTAAGATAAATGATATATTACCATTAATAAAATGTTTATGGGTTTTCCACCATCAATAGGCCTATTGGGTCAAACTTTTGACCCATTATCAAAACCCTTTTTTTTTTTTGGAACATCCCATTATCAAAACCCAACTTACAAAACTTGAGATGTATTTGAACCACACTACTCATGAGGTTAACCAGCGATTATTCTCCTCTCTAAAACTACTGAACTACACACAGGGAAATGATACTACTATTGAACATTGATGTGATCTCATTTGTTCTTATTACAAACTAGCAGATTACGATATGTAACTTAATATATGAAGGTCTTAACTCACTCATTTTATACGTTTTGAGCAAAATTACACATGTCGACCACAATGCGGAATCACTCATCAGGAGTCATGATAGTAACTAATAATGTTGGTTATGTACCGACGCATTTAATTTCATAAATATGAACTGTTATCATTCGCTACAGGAAACTCGCTAGTCAAGCTGGGGTCATGTGTACCGACGGGTAGGACCAATAGTTGAAGAATCCAAAGAGGGAGATTAGATCAATATCTTTAACTCCTAATGAAACTCCCATGTTCTCTATCTAAAGGAATATGGACCACAGCATAAAAAAAGAAAGAAATGATAGCATTCATATAACCATTAAAAGACCTTGAAAGCATATACAAAACATAACAAAAAAAAAAAAAAAAGGAAACTGAAAAAATCAATAACATAAAAGCCAACAAACTTAAAACATCACAAAAGCAAATTAAAGATGATCATCACAAAAACACATCATCATTATTTCAGACTTAATCAGTCTCCTTTTCCTTCTTCACCTCATCTACCGTCTTAGGATGGTACCCTGGAAGCTTCTCCTTGATCTTCTCCAAGATCCCTTTCTTCTCCGCCGGATGCGCTTCCTCCACCGGAGGAGCAACAACCGGTGCGACGGGAGCGGCCGGTGAGGCTTCTTCAGGCTTCTTCCCGTGTCCTGGAAGCTTCTCCTTCAGCTTATCCATAAACCCTTTCTTCTCCTCATCTGTTTTCACCTCTCCTTCAACGGTGGTAGTAGCAGTCTTCTTCTTGTCCTTCTTCTTCTTCCTCTTCTCACCATCTTCACCTTCTTCCTCGCTTGACTGTCCAATAATATTCATATATTTACATTAGGTTATAGTTATCAACTTATCATCAAAAAGACAAGAACACAATACATATAGCTTATGTCCGAATCTTTCTCAATATATTTTAATATTTATATATAAATATAAACTTACGGAGCTAGAAGAGCTGTCGTTTCGGTGAAGCTTCTCAAGAAGACTAGGCTTCTTCTCTTCTTCCTCGTGTTTAACCTCAGGCACCACAGGCTCTGAGATATGAACCTTATGTTCAAACTCAGAGTCGATGGTCTCCTCTGGTTTGGTTTCCTCCTTCTTCTTTCCCAAGAAATCAAACAGTCCACGATCCGTGACCTCGGCTGATGATTCCTCGGTTGTTACCTTAGGCACCTCATGCTCATGAACTACGTTCTTGGTTTCTTCCGCCATAGTTATCAAGAAAACGTTTGCTAGGTTTTATGAGAATATGAAAATGATCAAAAGTATAGTTTGAGATGAATGAGGAGAGAGATGTGTATAAGTGTGGTTTATATAGTGAGAGGACTATGGAGGGGTCCAATACAACGCGGATTTCACGCTATATCATCATTTTTTTAAATTTTATTAAAATATTTGCAGATTTTAGATATATTACAAAATGTCCCCACTAATTTATTTTTCTTTTTTATAGCTTCTTATCTTCTCCACCACGTAATTAACATTCTCCTAAAGATGAATTCATTATTTAATGATAAACAGTTTGCTTACGTGATCAGAGATTAAATCTATGTTACATAATTTTAATTAATGGATAATTCCAATGATTAATAAAATATTGGATGAGACTGGTGTTAGATAGAGTTGCAAAAAAAAAAAAAAAATTGAGAACTTAGTGGTTTGGGCATAAAAGTTTAATCTATTACTGCTATTTAAATTTCGTAATTATCAAATCCATATAGCTTAAAGAAGGATATATCCCAAAATTTAAAATTTTGAAGTTTTGGGTTTTCTTTATAAGAATAACATTTATAGGGATGCAGTTGTAAATCCAAGAAAATTGGTTAAAGAAAGAAGAGAGTTAGTATTAACTATTTAACTCACCATAGATGAAAAGACACGTGTCGCTCATTAGTGAAAATTGGACGGCGGGCAAACGTTTAAGAAAGACGACATAAAAGTGAGACAGAGAGAAAAGTCGTAAGAAGGAATTAGAATTCGACACGTATCAGTAAAACATGGTTTGTCCTAACGTAGGACCTACAAGCGTGTACTGATTGGCGTAAAAGACGTAATGTCGGTGGTGTCGGTCCATTTGACATTTTGACTAGTGCCACGCTGGACAAAGCTTATTAACTAATTTAACTTTACGTTACAAACGAAAACAATAACATCGTGACTCTTAATACTTATCCCGTGAAGTTAATAGTCTAGGGGTGGTGGCAATGTGTCATGATCTTTGAACTTGTGTTAATACATTTCAACGTAAACAGATATGTCAGATGAGTTTTCTAAAGATGAAATTAAATGCGATAGTAAAAAACAGGAAGATACATATATGAGAGCATACGATAACTTGAGTTGCTAGATATAATGAGATATGATATATTTTACTTGAGGGAGAGTGGAAATGATTAGTAATTTTAAAAGGATATATAGTGACCGGGAAGCATCATCGATCATCTCGTAACATAACAAAAGAGCTGTGTTCCAATTACTATTCGTCGTCTCTTGTCTCAAATTTGAATCGAGCCGTCGTGTTACACGAACCGTGACATAGCAACACATGCATCAAACACAAGCTAGTATTTTTATAACTGGTCTTCTATTTTGTTCATGTTCCATGAATTGTGTTCTCGGTAATGGCGAAACCGACAACTTGTAGCCGACACTCTCGTATGTAATACATAATGAGTACTATGATTTTGCAATATATTTAGATATAAGAGGATTTGGTGAACATTTTAAAATAGTGCAACCAACGATGGTCGGTTTGAGGGTTTTAAATATCTGAGTGTTATTATATAAAATACATACGATCCTTACATTAAATTTTAAGCTTCTAATTTTTTTTTTTGAGTAGGTTCTCACTATATGTTTCTAAATGGAACAAAAATAAAATGATTAATTACATCATTTGTTTGTATAGTTTTTTTTTTTTACCAAAATTTGTTTGTAATAGTTATCTGTCCATTTTTGCTTTTCACCGCTCTAACGTTACTGTGGACGTGATATTTGCCTCATTAATATAGTAGTCAAATCGTGAATATTCAACGTTATTTACCACTCACTTTATTTAGTGGGACACGAGAATCGATCGGTCCGTTGCTTAATATTTTCTTTAAGTTGATTTAATTTCTTAAAAATCATTAAATCGACCGCCAGAAGAATGACATTTCATATAAGTTTTGTCCATGCATAATGTTGATTTAGCAATGCCAAGTTGTTTTGTTTGCTACGGAAATGCCTTTTTAAAAAAAAAATTGTGTGTAGTTAGTTTTGAAGAAAGTTTTTATCTCCATATCCAGTTCATACAAATGGTGAAAAGTTTAGATTATTTTATCTTTTCCTAAAGGATGTTTTATATTTTCTTTAGTATACCATCAACTCTCTTAGAGGTTAAGTGAAATGACATTTGAGTGCCTTTTTCTTGGAAGATCGTTAATAGTTAGTTCAGTGTCACATATTTTGCTTTTTCTATATGTTGGACACATCGTTAGTTTCTAGTTATCCAAACATTGGTGGAGCTATATATATATTCAAACATAGCTATGTTCTGGATAAGCATTGCTTAAATTACACTTGAGACTAATCTCGTTTTCTTTTTGTTAGGTCTCGTTGAACCTTTGAAGACTACTCTCCTATCAAGAAAGTGTCTGTCTCACCTACATAACCGTTACCATGACTACTCTATTATAGCAGACGATTGTGTTATGTGAACAGTTCACTTAGACCGACTAATTACTCTCATAGTCTCAGCAACCCATTAAGTAAATAAGTAAACAATGGGGACTCCCACATCACATGAAGCACTTGGCTTCAAGGGATAGATGCTCTGGAATCCCATCCCTTGTCCTCCTGATGATACCTTTGCAGACATCACCGCCACTTGTTTTGAAGGTTATGAAGAAGACTGCATTATCCAACAGCCAGACATCTTTCACAGCTCCTCTGGTCTGCACAACAACCTTTCCCAGCTCCAGGGGCTTTGAACGGTCAAACACAACCTACAAGGAGAGATTACATATTATTATACTACACACGGAAAAAATTGTCTTCAAAAGTCATTTTGTTTTGGCTACTCTCACCGGGTCCCTCTGAATCTTGTTGAACAAGGCTAGTTCAGCGTAAAGATGAAGCCATTCTTTGGCTTGTTCCACCTCTGATTCTTTCATCTGGAGAACAAATAATAATCAATATATATAAGCAAACAAGAGAAGAGAAGCTGGGAATCAAAGATCAAAAGGGATAATGACCTCGTAGTATTGCATCAGCAGTGTGCTGCTAGTGGCATCATAGTCATCAGGCAACCATTCAGGCATGTTGCCTTTGAAGAGTTCATCCACGGAAAGTGTGTCAAATCCACATTGGAATCCATCTTCCCCTGTGGTAGACATAAATAAATATAAGAGAGAGAGAGGCATAGAAGACGATTTTGCAATTAATTATATTTACCTGGAGGAGGAGGAGAGGGCCTGCAGCGGGTTGTGATAGCATGGAAGCAATCTTTATTCTCAGTGACAAGCCGAACATTTGTTTCAAACATGCAAGTGTAATTGCTTACTCGATCCCTTGTCTCTAAGGTCTGGTCATAGGACCGAGGCAGACCCAAACGTTCAAAATGTGTACCCTACACACGTACATCATCAATGTATTATTATATATATATATATATATATATGTATGGTAAGGCAGAAGAGAAAAACAAAAAAGAGAGATAATTAACCTTTTCGAGATTGTAGCAATGGAGTGCGATTTTAGCAAAGAGCAGTGGCTTGGCATTGATAGCATCCTGAGATCGAGAGTAGTTGTAGTCGCCAGGGGGAGGGGGACTATAAGGTGGACAAGGAGTGAACGGAGGAACAAAGGTTCTTCGATACTCAATCTGAGATGGTGGTAAACTGTCAAAGATATCTGGGGACGACATTGCCGGCGGCGGCTTGTCCGGACGTGGAACATTATCATCAACGGATCTCTTCAGAAGAGTATCGAGTAATTCTTTCCAGTGTTGCTTCACCTCTTCTGGAGGAGTAGAGGGCAAGTGCATGACCACTGGACTCCAACGACCTACGTGGTCAACACTCGTGGTGGGGCCGTGGGGATAAAGTTCAAAATCAGTGGGAGCATACTGAGGTGGTGGTGGATTATAACCATGTCCTGACGGCTTGTAACGAGGTAGAAAAGAATCGAGTTCCTTCAAAGTAAAACACCCACCAGATTTGATGCAAAATACCACCGACAAAAATAAACAACTAGAAAACAAGCCAATTACCTTAACACTCAATGTGTTACTGTCAACATAACTTGGTGATGTTAATTCATTTACCGGCTGGTCCAATGGTAAAACAGCAGCATCGAGTTCCTTCAAGAATTATATAATATCACCGACTTAATGTAAAATACCTAAAGAGATGGGAGGGCAAGTAAAGAATTCAGTTACCTTATTACTCAACGTGTTACTGACTTCTTCCTTCATCACCACGTCGGACATTCTCACCCAAAAACCCTATTAGAGAGACGTGAAGAGCAGTTAACGAACAACTTTGATGAAAAGTGCGTTTTCTCAAATCAACGTCTGAAGCTGGTTCTTACTAAAGATTTATGTTAGAATCCTGGAAGCAGAAAAAAAAATGGGAAGAGCAGATTCGATGAAATAAGACACGAGATGAAAAAGTATTCTATGCAGGAAATGATCGACAACATACCTTTATTCTCTCTATTCCCCAGAAATAAAATTAACTCTCCCGAAATTCTCTCTATTCTTTATTTATTATATACCTGTTAGTAAACCGTCTGTAGCATTGGGCTTTTCTAAACTTAAGAAGCCCAATAGTGACAATCCAAAAGGAACAAAATCATTGCAATCAATTTTCTTTTACAGAATTTGAATTAATTTCCCTTAATTTATTTATCTTTAACTAAATTTTAAATGATTTTATACGAATTAAAAATATTGTATGATTTTAATTAAAAAAATTTAAAATCACATAAAACCATGATACAGTTTAGTTTTTAATGTTTTAAAAAAATCTATTAAAAACCTTCAAACTATTTCAAAAATCTAAAAATATTTATTAAATAAATTTATATATATTTATTAAATATATATAATGTAATCAATTTTTGGGTGATTAAAATTCAATCTAAAATGCTCAAACATAATAGTCAACAAGTTATATAGGTCTAGATCTCATTCAATTAGACACGATTAATATATATGGCTCGATTTTTTGGGTGATTAAGAGTCAATCTAAAATGCTCAAACAAAACAACGAACAAGTTATATAGGTCTAGATTTCATTCAATTAGACATTCATTTACATGAAAATAATCTATTTGTTAATCATGCATTAAATATCAGTCTCATTAGCCTAACATAATAAATCATGCATAAATCACAAGTATACTAACCATTTAATGAATACTAGCTTTTAACTTGCGCGTCCGCGATATATGAAAATAATCATATATTTTTAACTTTTGAAAATGCGATATATTTAATTGTTTAGGTTCTTATATTATAGATTCATATGTTATTTAGGATTGAGATTGATGTGTCTTGTTCAATGTGATTAGTCTTCACTTATAATTTATGATATTGTGTTTTTATTTTACTGTACTTTTATTTAGCTCATTTGGCAAAGTAGACACTAAAATGTGAGAGTTTTTCTATATATTATTTAGAGAGACAAAAATAATAATGAAACCAAGTTTAAAATGTTTTTTGAGAATTTTAAAAATAAATATATTATTTAAAGAAACAAAAATAATAATGAAACTAAGTTCAAAAACATTAAAATGAGAAGATATTTAATTGAAGTTAATCATTTAAATTATTTGGTTATGAACTTATAATTAAAATAGACCACAACTTAATTACCATATTCAAATTTATTTTCATCCCAATATTTATGAATTAGGCTTTAGTTTTATTTTAATTGACCAAACCCATATATATATGAAATAAGGCCAACGGCCTGAAAATGTAATATTTAAGGAAAACTAAGAGGTATTTCATATTTGTTTGTGAATCAGGTATGTCCAACGAACAATCCATACCAAGTGAGCATACCAAGAGGTTTCACTGAGTTTAAGTTTATAGAAGAGACAACATATTTATTTGTGGGGATTGATTTCCCGTGAGTCCCCAAAGATAGTGTACAGATCCATCTCGAGCCATCAAAGAAGGTTGTTTTGTGTTGGAGATACATACAAAGATCTAAATCCGGTGCTTCTTACCCTAAATTTAGAATTGCCATTGGATTTTCTATGATTGCTGTAAAATAAGCAATGGTCAACCTATTTGGGAGATGGTATTCTCATTCTCATCATTTCCAAAGAAGAAGTTCAGTTTTCATTTAGCTTCGTCTTGTTCTGGTAACTTCCTAACTCTAAATCCTTTTTTTCATTGCATAATAAACTAATTTTGACATTTATAAAAAAAATAATAAATTCTTTTTTTTTCTTGGTATTGTCTCAGCTAGAGCAAGAATATACATTGTAGCCTTGTCTAGTCTACGTATTTCTTCCTTAATGTATATCTTTTAAATTTCTACATACGTATTTCCATCTTTTCATAAATGATTTTTAACTTTATCTTTTCATAAATTTGTTATATATTTACTATTTTTTTCCTTTTTTTTTCTTTTGTTTTCCAAAATATATTTTGGTGAAGATCAGTGATAATTATTTATATATCTATTGAAAACAAGAGATTGTTATACCTTTGTATAACCTTTCGTATGCAACTATAACAATTGAGAATCTTAATCATAATTTTTGAGTTTGACTTTTAAATATTCAATTATGTCTCTTACATACTCTTCATTCCGCCATTTGCTATGCTTTTACATGAATTTTTATAGGCCACATAATATAATTGAAAAAAAATAGAGTTGAAAATTGTCATTTTAGTGAGACAATAGTCCAATCACAATTCTAGTCACAATTTATCAAGGTAGCTTTAAAATTCAAGTAGTCTATATTCTTATATTCTTTAGATAATTGTGTTTTGAGTAACTATTTTAGATACTTTCTTCTTTTAACTAAATTTATTGAAAACATGGTGAAGGCAGTGCACAAAAATTGAAAAAAATATTTCATCTAAATTTGGAATCTCAAACTCGCGACTGATTTGGATCGGACCAGAAACTCTCAGAGAACTCTTCAATCAAAACCTGCAAAATCTTAACTTGTTTTCATATTTTCTTGGTGAATGGAGGATTTTTTTTGAGCTTATTAGCTTTTTGCAAATCTTTACCATTAAGAGACATGACTTTCCTCTTCTAAGAAAATGTCTCTACGGTAGTGTGGAATAAACTAGAAACATCCCGCTTCACTCATTGAACCTCTTCTATGAAGTGTTAGGATTTGTCCCGAGCAATAAGTTGAAGCTTGTGCTAGCTGCCCAACCGTATCCGATATCAGCTTTGTTGAGTGTTGCAATGGAGTTCAGTATGCATATTTGACAATAGCCGAGGTATGTGTAAGTTTATTATAATATACAGTTGGAAAAAATAAACACACATTAAATTTTGCACACTCTTATTTCTAATACTAATAGGTTGGTGATATACTTGTGACTGAAGATCAATGGGTAGCAATCATGGGACCTGCAAAAAGCCAGTTGAAGCACGGTAATAATTCAGTTAACATTTACAATAAGAGTTCTAAAATAACAAACTTTTGTATCGTTTAACCTCTTGTTTTTTTTTCTTTTTTGAAGATATCTGTTGGGCATTCGTTGCGGCTGAGCTTGTGCAGTGAGACATATCCATCTTCGCGACGCTCACTAAGTCGAATACTTTTGTCGAGATCTGGTGGATTTCATAGATCCTCGGAAACGTTCTCAAGAAAAGACGAAGGAAAATGCGAAACACTATTGCTATTTTAGCAAAGAGCAGTGGCTGGGCATTGATAGCATCCTGAGATTGAGAGTAATTGTAGCTGCCAGGGGCAGGGGGACTATTAGAAGGTGGACAAGGAGTGTACAGAGGAAGAAAGGTTCTTCGATACTCAATCTGAAATGGTGGTAAATAGTCAAAATAACTTGGTGACATTGTTCCATTGACAGGTACCGGTTGGTGCAGTGGTAGAACAGGAGCAGCAGCATCGAGTTCCTACAAAGAAAATATATCACTGATTTAAAATGCAAATACCGAAAGAGAGGAGATGGCCGATGGATAGAATACTAGGGGGTACTATGAGTTCATTCAAATACCGCTTCAGCTCAAGTACCATGGTATACAATCCTTAAAGTCGAATACTTATTTTGACTAAAATAGATATCAAATAGTCTATTTAAACTGCTTTCAAATACAAACAAATATAAAATAATAAAATAAAACTAATTATTCAGCGTTGTTTGGTTTATTATTCGTTTTTGTTAATGAACAAAGATACATTTTTCTAAAACAACTCATCTATATTTCAATTTTTATAAGTGAATCAAACATAAGTGATATATTTATGTAAACATTTTGGATTTTTTTATTTCTTAATATAATATATTTCATGAATGACTAAAATCAGAAAAAACAATGACATATTATTTATGTATAATAAATTCATTTACCTTTAATTTAAATTAATTATCAAATAATTTATCAATAGCTATCAAGTAATTTGTTAAAAGTTTACAAATAGCAAGTAATAATACAAGACAAGTAACTTGCAAGTCTACCAATTTTTCGCAAGTACTTGTAACTGCAAGTACTCGATTTTAACAAACCAAGTACAAGTCCAAAATTTGAATACTCGTACAAGTCAAGCCGAGTACTAAATATATCGAAAATACAATCTTACCATTATTCATACTCAGAGTCTCCATTGTAGGGATTACAATTGATGCAACCTTGGGAGTTGCCAAACTACAGACTAAATCTATATTTTTATCAAAACTACAAAATATTTTTTTCTTTCAAAATTTAAATTTAAATTTTCTTATAGAGACTGCAAAATCATATGTAAAATTTTTATTTATAAAGTATATATTTAATTAAATATTTGAAAATATCGAACAATTATTTAGATTTCAGTATGAAGACTACTCACATATAATAATTGTTTTGTCTAAACATATTTTATAATAATTAATTAACTATGAATAAAATTAATTCTGTTACGGATACACAAGGAATCAATTTGTTCATTTGGACCGGAATTGGCTTTTTTTTTTTAAGTAGAAAGCCCAAATAACTTAGTCGGTTACGAAGTGGGCCAAGTGGGGATATAAAGAAAGTTGGGTGAAGTGATAATTTTGTTGTGGAGAATTTTGGGGGGAGAGGTTTCTTTAGTTTGGCATTTTCGTCTGGTACCGTGCTCATGCATCTGATCTGAATATTATATTTTCATGGAGTCTCTTGTTTAATCGTAACCGACTACGTTTTCTGAAAAGTCCAATGAACAAAATTATGGCGAATCAGATTTTATAAACGTTGTTTGTTAACTGCGACTCACGTCTCTCTTCAAAATTAGGGTTTTGGTTTCAGTTGAAACTAACCCTGTAAAATTGTGATAATGTCTGACGTGGTGATGAAGGAAGAAGACAGTGAGACCTTGAGTGTTAAGGTGATTGGATTATTTGTTTAGTTGTTGTCATCTTCTCTCTTTTCAGTATTTTGTATTTAATCGGTGGGTATTATTATTATTATTATGAAGGAACTCGAGGTTGTTCTACCACAGTACCAGCCGTTTAATGGATCTTCACCATCATTGAATGTGG